AGACACTGTGTTCTCCAAGCTTGGCCTAAGAGACACCCCTTGGCTGGGGCTCCCATTGGCCTGAGGAGCCAGACGGTCCTGAGACAAACCATGAATTATGAATTGGAAGTTGGTTGGTTGGGTCTTTTTCTCTTTCTCTGAGTACCCAAAAGTCTTATGCTGCTTGTCATCTTCCCTCACTGCTCCCCTCACACACCTTAGCAATATCACACACTTCAAGTGTTTTATGGAAGTATGGCATAAATACAGGAAAGCATGCCACACCATGCTATTAATCTTCCCTTGTACCCTCCCTGGCCTCCTCCAACAGAAGAAAGCTAAATAATCCCCCACCCTGTGTTTTCCTCTATTAAATTTAGTTTATTCACACGTGGAAGGTCTACTTCATCCAGGCAGGGCTAGGCTAGGGCTGCAAAGATGGGTGAGTCTACAAAGAAGCCACAGTCCCAGGGTGAAGTCAGGCAAGGACCCAAATAATGCTGACACCATGGAGATGGGCCCTATTAGGGAATTATTTGCTTTTTTGCAGGGAGAGAGGTCAACAGAAGGATCCAGGGAGGAGGTGATGTTTAAGGTATGTCTTAGTGTCTGCCAGATGAGAGACAGGGCAGGAAGGAAAATCAACACAGATAGACCAACATATTCAAAGACCCTGAGGAGGGAGAGAGTAGAGAGCATGTCTGGGTAGAGCACCAAGCAACTTGGTTAGAGGAGCCCAGCTGAGCACACCTTCTGTAAGACGCTGATACCACTTTTACAACACACACCAGTGGCTACACCAAATGAACATTCTACCACATGCCAGATTTTCATGGATTTCATTTCTCTGCAGTCTCCCTTCCCATAGTCTCTTTCCTTAACCCTTCTGAGTGTGGCCTGGTTCCCGCTCCTGCCTGCTCCCTGTGGCAGTGTCCGACTGAAACCAGCCCAGCTAGCCCAGAGAAGAGATGTCTACTGTTTTTTGGATAAACATGAAAATTGACCCTCTCATCTTAAAGGCTGAAACTTACATTTGTCTTATCTGAATTCCTTCCTCAGGAAACTGACCCTTAGGCCACCCAGTTAGTATCAAGGAACCAAAACTCACCAGACCACCACATCCACACAATTAGATGCCAGACCCTTCATCAATCATGATTCCTATTTAGCAGCGTCTCTTCCTTACCCCTCCCTCATTCCTGTTTTCTCACATATAGTTACATTTCCTTCCTGTTATATAAACCCCTAAGTTTAGTCGACTGGTCGAGGAGACAATTTTGAGACTGATCTTCCCTTCTTCTTGGCTGCAGCATTCTTCTCTGGCAATGCTCATCTCAGTGACTTGCTTTCGGTGCAGTGAGCAGCAGGACCTAGAAAAAACCCTGGTGTTTCGGTAATGCTACCAAAACCTGGCCCCATAGCATCCCACGGAGGAAGGAATCCACTGTTCTGCCAGGTGCTTTGGAGTATGCTGGTCATGGAAACTGGAAGGCATGACAAGTATAACTCAGTGAATGCTTGCTGTGGTCATGACGAAGGTGACCGATGGTGACGGTCAAGTAGCCTGGCCCCTCCTGCAATGCAGGGACAACCCCTGGATTGAGCACCATGGGGCAGGGCAGACCTGTGTGTAGACCCCACAAAGTGGGGGTAATGATGGGAGATGAAAAGTCGGAAGAGAAAGAGGCAGAAGGCACAGGAAACAAGTTAAAAAGCCATTGTGTGATTTCAAACGAAAGAGACTGAAGTCGGTCCAATGCAATGTCTGAGAGGATCTCCAGATATTCACAAGGTTGAGTTTTAAATATACTGTGTTTTCTCTATTAGGTTGGTGCAAGTAACTGCAGTTTTTGCCATTAAAAGTAATATCAGGCTTTTTTGTTTTTCAAATAGCAGGGTTTTTTTTGTTTGTTTGTTTATTTTTTTGAGAGAGAAATTCTCACTCTGTCATCCAAGCTGGAGTGCTCTGGCGCGATCTCGGCTCACTGCAACCTCCATCTTCCGGGTTCAAGCAATTTTCCTGCCTTAGCCTCCCAAGTAGTTGGGCAGGCGCACACCAACACACCCAGCTAATTTTTGTATTTTTGGTGGAGACAGGGTTTCACTATGTTGTCCAGGCTGGTCTCAAACTCCTGACCTCAAGTTTTTGCCCCTACTTTTAATGGCAAAAACCACAATTATTTTTGCACCAACCTAATATATATCTATATACATGCAATAACCATAAAGCTGTGTGTTTTTCTAGTTTTATAGTGAATATTTGGTCAAGTGTCCACAAAAATTGAGTAACGACACTGCCAGGAGGATCTCACCAGAGACGGGGGTGGCAGGGTAAGGAAGAGAGAGCTTGGCATTCCGAGCTGTGGGCCTGGAGAGATGTCCTGCTGCTGCCTGGGGTCACCAGGGGCTGCATGGTCGTTTTTTCTACAGAGATCTATAGCACCCTACAGGAAGGTAAGGAGCTCCTCTGCCACTTGCTGGCCCTGGGGCATCAGAATTAGAATCATCAGCTTTCAAGCCTAACGACCCACACTTGCTTTAGGTCAAACAAGCAGTAAAGAGGTCACAGAAGTGTCTGTGATGAGCTTTTGGTTTTGTTTTTCCCTTCTGGAAATGTTTTATGTTGGGTCAAATTACTACACATATGATGTGTGTGTCTGTGTGTGTGTGTGTGTGTTTCTCTTTTTCTGATAATAAAAGCAACACATACTCATTGGAGAAAATTTGGAAAACACAAAAATATCAAAAGTCAGAAATAAAATAAGACCACCGTTTGGAGAAAACTGCTTGGCCTTTTGGTTTATTTTCTTTTGTGTTGTTCATTTATAATATATGTATATCATCTGCACACACATTCATAATATATTAAATTTGTATCATACTTTAGACATTTGCATCATACAATAAAGTTTTATATTTTATCTCTTACACATTTTCCTATGTGATTAAATGTTCTTTGAAAACATTTCTTTTTAGCTTACATAAAATAAAATTTACTCTTTTTCATATACAGGTCCATGAGTGTTGACAAACACATGGATTCATGCAGTCACCACCACAATCAAGACACAGAGCAGTTCCATCGCTCCCCAAATTTTTCTCTCAGTGTCAGTTTGCAGTCAGCACCTCCCTCTAGTCCTAATCATCCTCAACCCCCACAATCACTGGTCTGCCCTCCGCTCCTACAGTTCCACCTTTTCGAGGATCTCATATAAATAGAATCATATAGTTGGTAGCCTTTTGGTGTGGCAGCTCTCACATTTTAGTTTCATCCATATTGCTGCATATATCAAGGTATACCTTTATTGCTGAGTAGTATTCCATGGTATAGATTTACCAGTTAGTTTATTCATTCACCATTTGAAGGACATTTGAATTGGTAAACATGGCTTTTACTTGTTGAATGATACTCCATTCTACAAATATATTAAAACCCATGTAAATGGTTCTGATATGGTTTGGCTCTGTATCCCCACCTAAATTTCATATTGAATTGTTGAAGGTGAGGCCTGGTGGGAGGTGATTGGATCATGTAGGTGGTTTCTGATGGTTTAGCACCATCCCCCTAGTGCTGTCTCATGACAGAGTTCTCACAAGATCTGGTTGTTTGAAAGCATGTAGCACCTCCCCCTTCACTCCCTTCCTCCTTCTCTGGCCATGTAAGACATGCCTGCTTCCCTTTTGCCTTCCACAGTGATCAAAAGTTTCCTGAGGCCTCCCCAGCCATGCTTCCTGTAAGCCTGTGGAAGTGAGAGGTGAAGACAGCTGGACTTCCTGGGTCGAGTGCGGACTTGGAGAACTTTTCTGTCTAGCTAAAGGATTGTAAATGCACTAATCAGCACTCTGTAAAAACACACCAATCAGTGCTCTGTGTCTAGCTAAAGGATTGTAAAGGTACCAATCAGCACTCTGTAAAAACGCACCAATCAGCACTCTGTGTCTAGCTAAAGGATTGTAAATACACCAATCATCACTCTGTAAAACGGACCAATCAGCACTCTGTAAAATGGACCAATCAGTGCTCTGTAAAATGGGCCAATCAGCAGTATGTGGATGGGGCCAAATAAAGGCATAAAAGCTGGCCACAGAGCCAGCAGTGGCAACCCACTTGGGTCCCCTGCCACAGTGTGGAAGTTGTATTCTTTTGCTCTTTACAATAAATCTTGCTGCTGCTCACTCTTTGGGTCCGCACCACCTTTAAGAGCTGTAACACTCACTGCAAAGGTCCACAGCTTCATTCTTAAAGTCAGCCAGACCACGAACCCATCAGAAGGAAGAAACTCCGGGCACATCTGAAGGAACAAACTCCAGACACACCATCTTTAAGAGCTGTAACACTACCACGAAGGTCCACGGCTTCATTCTTGAAGTCAGCGAGACCAAGAACCCACCAGAAGGAACCAATTCCGGACACAGAACTGTGAGTCAATTAAACCTCTTTTTAATTTTTTTTGTAAATTACCCAGTCTCAGGTAGTTCTTTATAGCAATGCAAGAACAAACTAATACAAGTTCCAAACAGTTTCAGTAAATATGTAAATATTACTGGACATTTTGGGTTTTTCCCTCATTATAAGTAACTATTATGGCTGGGTGTGATGGCTCACGCCTGTAATCCTAGCACTTTGGGAGGCTGAGACAGGTAGATCACCTGAGATCAGGAGTTTGAGACTGGCCTGGCCAACATGGTGAAACCCCGTCTCTACTAAAAATACAAAAATTAGCTGGGCAAGGTGGCAGTCACCTGCAATCCCAGCTACTCAGGAGGCTGAGGCAGGAGAATCGCTTGAATCCTGGAAGCGGAGGTTGCAGTGAGCTGAGATCTCACCACTTCACTCCAGCCTGGGCAAAGGAGTGAAACTCTGTCTCTCAAAACAAAAAGGAACCAGTAACTGAACATCTTTATACCAAATAAATGAAATCTTTACAGACAAAATATATATGCATACATTTATATAGTACACATGTCTTAAGTGATCAACAAGCATGTAGTGTGCGTGCTGCTGGAGATACAGGAAAATATAGATGATGTAAAATATAGCTTTATTAGAATTCTCTAAAAATGTTTGATAATATACAAGCAGTCTGACTCCCAGTGCTTTGTGTCATTATAAAAGTAAGAAAATAACTTGCTTTAATTCTAATGCAGCATTTTTTAACCTGCTAAATAGAACTAATTTCTTATTTCTGAAATCCTGCACATATGCCTCATTGAAATACCATTTCAGGACATCGTTGTCCCAGCAAAGAGCTTCTTTAGACAACAGAATCATTTGGTATACACAGAACAGGAATGATGATTGCAAGGGGAGGCTGCAGGACTGGAGGAGGGTTAGAGCAACACAGTTCCCAGTTACAGTTGAGTCCCGGAAGCCAGCACCAGAAGGAGGGGAATGATAAGAACCGCACTTTGTTCTGCATAAAGACTTGGGGCTTTTCTTTGAGTAGTGGCTGCTGCCCTGCAAATTAACAAGGAAACAGAGAAAGTGTCAGTATTGGTGTATGGAATCTACACTCAAAAATATATGTGCAGTATTAGTCTCTTTTCTGGTTAGCGTGGAGGGAGAAGCCAGGAGCAGCAGTCTCCCGTGACACCCTGTAGGAGGCGGTGCGGGAAGTCCTGCACCGGAACCAGCGCAAGGACCCCAAGTTTCTGGAGACGGTGGAGTTGCAGATCAGCTTGAAGAACTATGACTCCCCAGAAGGACAAGTGATTCGCGGGCACTGTCAGGCTTAAGTCCACTCCCCGCCCCAAGTTCTCCGTGTGTGTCCTGAGTAACCAGCAGCACTGTGACAAGGCGAAGGCTGTGGATATCCCCCACATGGAAAACAAGGTACTGAGAAAACTCAACAAGAATAGAAAACTGGTCAAGAAGCTGGCCAAGAGTATGATGCATTTTTGGCCTCAGAGTCTCTGATCAAGCACATCCCACGAATTCTCGGCCCAGGCCTAAATAAGGCAGGAAATGTCCCCTCCCTGCTCACACACAATAAAAACATGGTGGCCAAAGTGGATGAGATGAAGTCCACAATCAAGTTCCAAATGAAGAAGGTGTTATGTCTGGCTGTGGCTGCTGGCCACGTGAAAAAGATAGACAATGAGCTTGTGTGTAACATTCACCTGCCTGTCAACTTCTTGGTGACATTGCTCAAGAAAAACTGGCAGAAAAACTGGCAGAATGTCCTGGCCTTATACATCAAGAGCACCATAGGCAAGCCCTAGCACCTATATTAAGGCACATTTGAATAAATTATACTGCTACCAGCAAAAAAAAAAAAGAAAAAAAAAGCAACTTGTGCACACCGTGGAGAAATTTACATAGTATATAGGAAGTTATAAAGTGGAAAGTAAAAGTCTCTTAGTCTCTCCATTTGCATTTTCCATAGAAAACCAACTTTGACAGTTTGAGTTCTCTTTCCAGGAATGCAATGCACACATGCATGCTAAACCTGCTTAATAGAACTAATTCCTATTTCTGAAATCCTAAGCACACATGTCATTGAAATACCACCTCAAGACATTGTTTCCTGAGCAAAAACCTTCTCTAGACAACAGGACCTGCTGCTGCCCTGCAAGTTATCCTTAAACGTCTTTAGATATCCTTTTATCTAAGCACAAATGGAATCTACAACGTGTGTTACATCATATCTTGAACATACTTCCATATTGGTACACAGGGAGTTAATTCATTCTTCCTTGTGGATGAATTTTTATTGTATGGATAGAACACAGTGTTAGCCAGGTTCCCTACCGATGGCTACATTATCAGAGTTTAAGTGTCCTGACACAAAGACATCAACAGAGGGCCCGCCCAAAATATGGACCCTATTCATAGTAAACAGCATCTGACCACTGGGTTTGTAAAAACAGAAATTACTGAATTCTTTTAAACTAACTAAAAGATGAATTTTTAAAATTATGAAACCATCTAACGTTGGCTTGGAAATATATCCCATGGCTCTGGACTAGCGGCCCTGTCCTTAAAAATTCCTGACTCCATTTGAATGCTGGTCCTCCTTTCTTTTTTGCTAAAATCTCACCCACAGGTTTGTATTAGGGCTCCACCTACCGGACATTTTGTACAATTGCACCTGTGATGCAATTAAAGTCCCAGACTTGATTCACTCAAAATTTAAAATGACTTTTGCTTTCAAATAATTAACTAATTAACATAAGGGTACATTTTTCTTTACTTTTTAAAAAAATAAAATGACACATAATTAAATACACTAATGACAGTCTCCCTTCATCTTTTGCCAGTTCCTATTCCTTTGCCTAGAAGGAACCCACAGTTAGCAGCTTGGAGTTTACTTTCTCAGACCTATTTCTATCACTTACATCCATTATCATGCACAAATAGAAATATGCTGTTTTGCTTTCTTCTGCTTTACATGTCTGGGTTCATATTCTGTGCATTGATTTGTCACTTTGTAACTTAAAAAGCTTTTCTTGTCAATGTGAGACTATACTTGAGGGGTAACTGCACTGTTTGCAGTTACTTTGATTTTTAAAATTAATTCTTGTTATTACATTTATACACTCAAAAGCTTAATTTTCCCATGCTCTTTTATTTAATTTACAAATCACACTGTACTATTTAAAAACCTAGTGAACCCTGACAATCACTCTTAAGGATGTGTCACAGTTACTTAATTCACGTGATGTTTTAAACTCAAGTTATTTCAGGTTAAATTATTATTATTATTATTATTCTTTGAGAAAGGGTCTCATTCTGTCACCCAGGCTGGAATGCAGTGGCGTGACTACAGCTCACTGAAGCATTGACCCTCCTGGGTTTAGAGAATCCTCCTGCCTCAGACTCCTGAGTAGCTGGGACCATAGGTGCACACCAACATACCCAGCTAATTTTTTGTTTGTTTGCTTGTAGAGGCGGGGTCTCGCCATGTTGCCTAGGCTGGTCTTGAATGCCTGGGCTCAAGTGATCCTCCCACATTGACCTCCGAAAGTGCTAGGGTTACAGGCATGAGCCACTGGGCAAGGCTTCAGGTTATTTTCGACTTAAGTATTAAAACATTACATCTTTTTAAAAATTTTTTAAATGACTTTAAATTAGCCAAACTTTCTCAATTACTTGATTGTAGTAAACCTAATAAATGTATAAAATTTAATCTTAATTATTTTACAAATTCCACTACTGGTTCAAAACTTAGTAAAATTCTCTTATAACTTCCTACTAAAAGTCCCAAGCCTAAAATCAGTTACTTGGCTGGGCATGGTGGTTCACACCTATAATCCCAGCACTTTGGGAGTCCAAGACAGGAGGATCACCTAAAGTCAGGAGTTTGAGACCAGCCTGGCCAACATGGTAAAACCTCATCTCCACTAAAAATACAAAAGTCAGCCAGGCGTGGTGGCTCATACTTGTAGTCCCAGCTACTCAGCAGGCTGTGGCAGGAGAATCACTTGAGCCCGGGAGGTGGAGGCTGCAGTGATGAGCCAAGATCAAGTCACTGAACTCTAGCCTGGGTGACAGAGCGAGACTCCATCAAAAAAGGAAGAAAGGAAGGAAGGAAAGAAGGAAGGAAGGAAGAAAGGAAGGAAGGAAGGAAAGAAGGAAAGAAAAAAGAAAAGAAAAATTTCCATTAGTGGTGGCATGGGCCTCTAGTCTCAGCCACTTGAGAGGCAGGGGGATCACTTGAACCCACAAGATTGAGACTACAATAAGCCATGATCACACCACTGCACTCCATGCCTGGATGACAGAGTGAGAACCTGTCTCCCAAAAAAAAAAAAAAAGGAAAAAGAAAAAGAATTAGTTACTTAATAGTAACCCATATACTGGCATCACAGGTTTCATCCAACAGCTGTTCTTATATGCTACATTATCTAAAATATTGCCAATAATTAAATACCAAAACATACAGATTGTCCCTAAATTTACCACAAAACTATTAATAAAATGGGTGGATTTACATTAACAGTTGTTTATTTCATTTGAAACCTTTTCAGATTAAAAGCCCTTTACCCCACTATTCCTAAACAAGTAGAGATGAGTAGTCCTGTCTCTGCGGCCTGGGGCATTTAGGACAGAGACTTCTGGCCAAGTTAAGAGATCTGATGTTTGCCCTTGGCCCTCAGTGCCACACTGAGTCCTCACTCCAATACTATATGTCTGTTTTCTCATATCATCACCAATCCTGCAGATTAAAAGTCTACTGAATTTTTGGCCAATATTATAATCTATAAGCGCTAAGGTTGGCGCTTATTGACCTTATAATCTAAGGTTTCCTCTTAGATTATTCATGTGGTCTTCTGCTTGCCGTATGATTATCCTACCATTGTCTTTAAGAGCTACATTCTACTCCCTCCAGTAAGTGTACCCTTTGATGTAACCATTTACTTGTCAGTGGATATTTGGGCCTAGTTCCCAATATTTCAGTATTATAAAGAATGCTCTGGCGAACATATTTGAGCTTATAAGCTGTATGCGCATTTTGAATCACTTCTTTAGAATAGGGCACCAAAAGTACCCGAAAGTCTGACCTAGGTCGAAGACTGTGATACTTTTCTAATTCTTGACGCATATTGTCAAATTGTTTTCCCAAAGCACTTTATCAATTTACAGTGACATCAAGCTTGAATAACATCTCTAAAACACTTTTCTGCTATGTTTTAATGTATGTCAAAAAAGTTTAGGTGAAAATGACACCTTGCTGAATTTGTATTCCATTATTATTAGAGCAATTAAATAATTTTGTACATTTGCTATTTGTGGTTTCTCTTTTGTAAATTATCTATGAATATTCACCACTAGAATGTTTAAAAAAGAGATTGGTAAAATTCCTGCCAGGGTGATGAAAGTTGGAGAAAAACTTGGCAGAGTGAAAGAGAGTTTTATCCTTGACATTCAAAGGAATCAGGCAGAATTGTCAAAAAATGTCTACCAACAGTCACTGGAAGAATGCCCACACATAGGAAAGAACAGGTCAGGAACTGCAAACCCCTTACCTACCTGCTGTGGTGTGAGCCCCAGAGACATTTTAAGGCAGTGTGGTGTGGTAGGAAGAATGAGAACTTTACACACAGACAAACGTCGGTTTTGCTTCTGCCTCTGAGTTACACTGAGTGACCGCTTAATCTCTCTGAACCAGCATCATTGCTGACAATCAAACTGTCCTCCTTCCAGGAACGTGGTTGGAGTAAAATGAGATGATCACTCCAGAGTGCCAGCTGGAAGCCTGACACTGCAAAGTGCTCAGAAATACTGAGGAAAACTTGGGAGGCTGAGGCAGGGGAATTGCTTGAACCCAGGAGGTGGAGGTTGCAGTGAGCCGAGATTACGCCACTGCACTCCAGCCTGGGCGACAGAGTGAGACTCCGTCTCAGAAAAAAAAAGAAAAAAGAAATACCAAGGAAAAGTGAGAAGAGCTGCCCTTGTTCTCCTTATACTTCCTGCAGCAGGGGAGCTAACCCAAGGCACTGGTGCTAGGATGGCACCATTTGCCCATTTCAGGAATGGTGGTGTAAGGTGCAATGGGTTTTACAACAAGGAATTTTACATGGTCTGTTTCTGTATAGGTTGATAGTCTTATTAATGAGACAAAGAGTAAACCCATACAATCCTAAGAAATTCTAACACCACGGACATTTCCCTATCCAAGCCTTACGAGGTTGCAGGTTCCTTAGAAAGTCTATACCACTAAATCTTTGCAACAACTTTATTCCCCCCTTTTCCACATAAGTGACCCACAGAAGGATTGTTTTTCTTGCAATCAAAATGTAGAACTTCTGCATATGCAGCCACTGGGCACTTCTCTGAAGCTGTTGTAGAGCATTCGTCATGCCTTTTGGTTGCCTAGCACCTTTGAACGTCGTTCTTCTTAAATCTATGCCTTTCCAGGGTAGAATCCAATCATTCACTCATTCATTCATCTATGCGTGCATTCATTCATTCCTAAGTGTCTACTAGGTTGCAAGCTCTGTTTTAGGTCCTTAGAATACCATCAACAGTGAACAAAACAGGTCAAAGTCCCTGACTTCCTGGAGCTCATGTTCTAACAGGTGGGAGGCGCTAAAGAATGAACTTCCCAGCATGGGTAATATAGTGAGACCTCATCTCTACAAAAAAAAAACCAAAAAACAAAAAAACAAAAAAACACAAACTTAAGTTAGCTGGGCATAGTGGTGAGTGCCTGTTTCCCCAGCTATTTGGGAGGCTGAGATGGGAGGATCACGTGAGCCCAGGAGGTCAAGGCTGCAGTGAGCCGTAATTGTGCACTGCACTACAGCCTGGGTGACAGAGAGAGACCTTGTCTCAAAAAATAAAAAATAAAAATAAAAATAACAAAAAAAAAAGAATGAATTTCACCAGTAGGTCAGTCAGAAGATAAACACTATAAAAAAGAAAAACATATAGTCATATGAGGGTTTTGAAGAGCCACAGTTGTGAGATGGAGGTTATAATTTTAAATATTGAGATCAGGGATCAGAGTAACCTTACGGAGGCTTTGTAGATAAGAAAACTGACAATTTCAGATCATCTGACTAACTCAGTAAGAGCAGAGTGCTTACTGCTGCCAAAACGGTGTTTCCACAGGCTGATGAGCAAGAAAGCGTGTAATATCTTACGGGAAGTGGATCAAAACTAGCCTTGAAATAAAAGTTCCAGGTGAGAAGCAGTGGGTGACGTGTCTGGAAAGAGTATGATGAACCTGTAAGATGGGACCAGAAGTCTGAACTTGGTAGTAGGGAACTTTGAAGGTTTTTGAGCAGCAGCGATGTGAGGGTGGACTTCATTTTCAGGTGAGGAAAGGAAGGACCCAGGTTCACAGGCTGTTCTTTATCTCCTGTGAGAGACCCAGGTTCACAGGCTGTTCTTCATCTCCTGTGAGAGACCCAGGTTCACAGGCTATTCTTTATCTCCTGTGAGAGACCCAGGTTCACAGGCTGTTCTTTATCTACTGTGAGAGGACTCGGAAACGAGAGATTCGCAGGGAACGAATAGCATTAGAGCATGAGGAGAGGACTTAAATCCATCACCGAACCCTGGGATGTTGGCTCCTAGAATACATGCTGGAGATGATGGGTCTGTTGTCCTAATTTCTGGCCCAAAGAGCAAGAAATCTGCCAGAGTGAATTTTGACAGTTCTCAGACTCCTTCAGATCCTGGTTCTGCCTGCACTAGCTGGGTGGTCTTGGGTGAGTCCTTCATTAACTTCTCTGAGCCAGAGTTTCTTTGCTTCTGAAGGGAGAATATGAACCTACCCACACCGGATCAAATGAAAGTCTGGCTTCTGTCTAAATGACAGTGGCTTAGAGAAGATAGATGTTTATTTCTCTCTCAGTAACTCTCCAGGGCTGGTAGAGTGACGCCATGGTACAGAGGCACCCGGCTTCCTTTTGCTGTGTTGCTCTGCCACGCCCAGTTGAAGACAGCTCACCTCCATGTCTTGTGGGCCCATATACCAGCCAGCATAAAAGGAGAAAGGGAATGTATGCCCCTTCCTTTCAAGTGCTAAACCCAGAAATTGCACATGTCACTTGGCCACAGTGGGTAGGGAGGCTAGGATAGTTATTCTTGATAGCCATGAACCCATCTAAAATTCAAGGGGTCTATTACTAAATGAAGAAGAGAAAAAGAACTATATGGTGATGACAAGCCAGCTCACCAGGGCATGTGCTTTATCTCTTTCTCTCTCTCTCTTTCTCTATCTTATTTATTTTATTTTATTTTATTTCATTTCATTTCATTTTATTTTTTGAGATGGAGTTTCACACTTGTTGACCAGGCTGGAGTGCACTCGTGCAATCTCGGCTCACTGCAACCTCCGCCTACTGGGTTCAAGTGATTCCCGTGCCTCAGCCTCCCAAGTAGCTGGGATTACAGGCATGCACCACCACTCCCGGCTAATGTTGTGTATTTAGTAGAGATGGGGTTTCACCATGTTGGTCAGGCCGGTCTCGAACTCCTGACCTCAGGTGATCCACCTGCCTCAGCCTCCCAAAGTGCTGGGATTACAGGCATGAGCCACCATGCCCAGCCTGACTCTCTTAAACTTACTAGTTATTCAGATAGACATAGTATTTTATGTAGTGCACACAGCAAATGCCTAGCATATAGTTGCTGTGCACTCTGATTAGTTCTTTCCTCTTGTAGATGGACGAATGGATCCTGCAGGCATTGATGGTGCACCCACTATGTGCAACTCTAATGAAAAATACTAAGAGAAACACAAAGAGGAAGGCAGAGTGAGGCAGGCAGATGGTACAGAATGAACGACAGCAGGGCTAGGAAAAGTAAAGCGCTGTCATCAGATTGTGCACAAAGTCCTTGGGAGCAAAGAGAAGAGAGTTCCTCAATCCACGTGGAGAATGAGGAAAGTCTCATAGAGGAAAGCACACCTGAGGTGGACTGGCAGGATAAACATGATGTTAGTAAATAGATTTCATAAGAGAATTCAAGTGGAGGGATCAGAAATCTCCCGGCCAACACAAACTGAAATGACAATAATGCGCTATGTTTTACCCCTAAGATTGGCTAAAGTGATATGGTTATAGGTACAGGCACAGACACAGATATGGATGTAGAAAATGCATAGTGTGGAGGAGTGGAGAAGGGGCACTCCCAGCATAGACTGGTGGTGGGAGTGTATCCTGGCACAGCCTTTCTGAAACACATCAGAATTTTGCAGAACACACCAAAATTTAAAATACACACATTCTTTGACCCAGCAGTTCCATTTCTGGGAATCTATCCTACACAAATACTTGCACAACAGCTTAAAGCATATAATCAAGAATTATATTTCAGTATTGTTTATAATAGCTTAAAAAAACTACTACAACAACATACAAACAAGCCAGCCCATGACTCAGAAGGGATTACATAAAAGGTGGTGTGACCATCCTACAGATTGCTCTACAGCCACTAGCAGACTGGGACAGAAAGTATGAACAAACTTCAAAGGATGGCCGCATTACACCGGCAAGTGAAGAAAGCTCACAGCAGGACGTTATGTGTAGCGTGATTGCTTTTTGTACAAAAACTAAGACAGATACATATAAATAAAAATAACGCCAAACCAGAACCAAATGAGCACACTTAACATCTGCGTTTGATAATATGTTCATGTTTGTGAACTGAAAACTTCTGAAAGGAGATGGTTATCTTGGGAAAGAACGACCTGAGTTAAGACATTTACTTACGAATGTAAGGCACAGTCAGGATGGGTGCTGTGGTCCACACACTGTAAGAGCTTCACTGGTCTACAGAAAGAAAATAATATTTAAGGGATTATTTAAATAACTTTCGTCCATCAAACATTTATGGCTTGCCTGAAAAGTCCTGGAGATATAGTATTCTCTGACCTCAAAGAATACACAAACTATTTCCTCTAAAAATATTAGTGGCCCAGCACGGTGGCTTATGCCTGTAATCCCAGCGCTTTGGGAGGTTGAGGCAGGAGGACTGCTTGAGACCAGGAGTTTGAGACCAGCCTGGGCAGCATGGCGAGACGCTGGCTCTACAAAAAAAAAAAAAAAAAAAATGTCTAAAAATTTTCTGGGTGCAGAGGCTCATGCCTATAGTCTCGGCTACTCAGGAGGCTGAGGCGGGAGGCCCAGGAGTTCAAGGCTGCAGTGAACTATGATTGCACCACTGCACTCCAGCCTGGAAAACAGAGTGAGGCCCTGTGTCTAGAAAAAATAAAATAAATAAAAATATTAGCCAGCATTTATCAAGCATTTACTATGTACCAAGACATTTGATTATATCTTTTGTGAGGATCATGTCATTTAATCCTCATAACAACCAAATGGAATAGGTGCTTTATCTTCTCCAATTTACAATTGAGAAAGCTGACCACAGGAACCTGCCCAAGTTCTCACAGCAGCAAGTTGAAGGGCTGAACTTGAATTATGCAGGCTGACTCCAGGGTCCGAGCTTCTAACCACTTCTATATGCACATATGACATTACAGTACGACCTGATAAGTACTTTGGGCAGAAGGGTGGACTTGAACCACATGGGTGATGGTCAGTGCTCAGGCATCAGAGAGGAACGCTAACTTTCTGTACACAGTAGAGGGAGAAGATGTGAAGTTCCAAGGCACCAAGGGTGGGGAAGGGAAGCAGCAATGAAGACAGGAGCCAGGTCTTGGTGGCACATGGGGAGTTAGGTAGGAGACAAGCCTAGACAGGATCTCTGTGGCAGGACCACTGCAAGGGACTATGGAAGAACAGGAACGTGATACTGTTCTCTCTATGGCAAGCCATGTCTTCTGTCCTTGACTCAGCTACCTTTCATTAATGTCTACCTGATGCACATATTTTTAATAAGAGTAATTATCTGTCATTGTGTATGTCCAAAAACAGGCAAGGAATTTAACTGAATCTAATTCAACACAGTGCTGGCAGAAACCAACCAGGAAGTAAGGGAGGCTATGAAAAGATAAGCCCCCTCCAAAATGGGCAAGCACCTCAGGGAGAACCTTCAACTGATGTGGGGCAGAAGGCAGTGCCACCTGAATTGTGAGGGGCAGGAGGTTCTCACATCTGGGTCGGAGTTGGATTTGTTATGTTAACCCTTGTCACTTTCCCATGTTATACATTTTATTATATCCTCTCTGCTCCTGACACTAACACAGAAACAACTTATGGGCAGTAAAGAAATGGGAGCTTCCTCATTTCTTTACTGAGTCAGGCTTCGAAGAGAAGAGCCCTGAGGCTGACTGAGGTGGGACACCAATGGAGAGGAAGGACATAAGTCCAGACCCAGGGTAGCTGTAAGGGGGAAGGAGACTTGGGCTCTGGCCCGGCTATTACAGCTCAGCCCAATGACATAAAAACAAAGCAAAGTGGTTGTGAATGCAAAAATTTTAGCTACATTTTTCTCCATCATTGAGCTTGTTTTTTTGCTTTGTTTGGTTTGGTATTGAGGGGTTGATGGCAGAGGGTTTGCTTTGTTTTATTTTGAGACCAGGTCTTGCTCTGTCACCTAGGCTAGAGTGTAGTGGCCCCATCATAGCTCACTGTTCCCTTGAACTCCTGGGCTCAAGCAATCCTCCCACCTCAGACTCCCAAGTAGCTGGAACTACGGGTGCATGCCACTGTGCTTGGCTATTGAGCTGTTTTGGAGTAAGAATTGAATTCTTTTGATTTTTTGAGATGGAGTCTTGTTCTTGTCACCCAGGCTGGAGTGCAATGGTATGATCTCGGCTCACTGCAACCTCCACCTTCTGGGTTCAAGTGATTGTCCTGCCTCAGCCTCCTGAGTATCTGGGATTACAGGCACCCACCACCACGCCCAGCTAATTTTTGTATTTTTAGTAGAGACGGGGTTTCATCATATTGGCCAGGCTGGCCTCAAATTCCTGACCTCATTATCTGCCCACCTTGGTCTTCCAAAGTGCTGGGATTACAGGTATGAGCCACTGCGCTCAGCCAAGAATTGAATATTTTTTAAAATTTACTACTGGAGCTTTGATTAAGGAAGGAAGAGCTTGGTAGCATTAGGGAAAGAGCATGCTTTAAGGCCATGCAAAGCTGGGTTCAAAACTCAACTCTGTCACTGAGTTTAAAGCTTAAAGACAGATAAAACTAACAAACGACATTATGAATCTGGAGAGTGGTTACCATGGGGTTGGTGACTAAGAAAGGCCAATGGGAGCTTCTAGGGATGCTGGTTATGTTCTGTTTATTGGTCTGAGGGCTGGCTGCAGGTATGCGCTAAATGGGGGAAGCTTCATCCACCTGTGTACTCATGTTTTGTATATTTTTCTGTACATAGATTATATTTCCAGAAAAGGACATTTCCCTTGTTTTGTTTTTAAGAGGGGGTGATAAACAACATCTAACTTTTGAGGGCATTGGCAATAATATATGAGTAAAAGGTACAGGTAACAGAACAGCCTTGAGGGGCTCCTTGTCTTGAGGAGGCATGGAATGGGAGGGAGTGGTTTACATGTTTAGGATGCTTTGCTCAGCTGGGAGAATGATCCAGTCCATGGGGCTGCTGGGAAGGCAGAGAGTGGCAGAGAAGCAGGATAATCAAGGGTGTTGGGCAACAAGAGAAGACCACTGACATCATTTCTACCCTGCAACACTCAGAAATGTTCAAGAAAGCCACTCAGCTTTTGCAGTGTTGGATTCCAGCCCCTTGCAGAATCAGCAGGTCCACAGTCTTGGGGGCTGAGGCAGAGAGGGTGAGAGGCAGGGATTTGAGTCCAGAGATGGCTTGCAACTACCTTAGGGCTTGAGCCAAGTTTTTTTTTTTTTAATTACAAGCAAGAAGGCCCATAAATGATATCTGATTATAAGTGTATAAAGGGTCTGGCCCATAGGTGCTCACCAAGTGGTAGTTACTATTATTTTCCTATTGGTCTGTGGTAAAGATGTGTCTGTAAATATCTCAAACTCCCACCTTAGCACCTGTCATGCACAAGGATCCCAAGAGATCCAAACACATAGGAACCTCATCAGTCCCTGTCCTCCCGTGTCTCACTGCACAGTAAGCACAGTGAGGAGAGAACTGGGCATGAGCAAATAAGAAAGTGCTGCTCTGTGTGTCCTTTAAATGCCATGAAGATGGACTCTGGACAGCAGTAGGTGGGGCCCTGGCCAAACCCAGGCCAGAAGGTGCTCCTTGCCTCCACACTAAGAGGCCACCCAGAAGGCACCACCCCATGGCCTTCAGAGCTGAGAACCAGCAATACCTTTTTGGCAGCCCACCTCCTCCAAAATCACACACCGCCTCTACAAGTACACATTGATATATAGGCCACCTACCGGTAATCAGTAATACAGCTGTACTGGAACCCCATGTCCTTCAGCCTCTTTTCCAGAACTTTCATGGTGCCTTCCCCGCAGGATTCCCTAAAACATAAAAATATATAATTAAAAAGTAAGTAAATAAGAGGTGGAAGCGGAAGTTGTTTCTGGGTTAATCATAATTTCTTTTGACCATGTGCTCCTGGATATTCTCCTCTCAGAAAGAAAAGAGGAATGTCTCTGGTTTAAAAAGGGCTGCTTCTGGTAAACTGGCAGGACCCAGGAGATGATGCTCTGAAGACCCCAGCACCAGACCTGAAGCTGGGCAGCCGGGAGCACTGGGAAAGCCAGGGCCAGTGCATGCACGTGGTGTCAGCCACCTGTGTAGTCTGTCCCCAGACAGTGACACATATCTGCAATGCGCTCCAGGGGCTCAGCACATTGCTACCTGCCAATGTGTTCACCCTACACTACAGTATATTCATTTGAAATTTTAAGTAACCACCAAAACATACAAATTTAAAAATATTAGAAAATGCAAATAAACAAAAATTTTTAAAAATTACCCCAAATCTCACACCCCTAGAGATAGCTGCTGTTAACATTTTGGTGTATATAGGTCTAGACTTTTAAAATATATTTATTTCTGCAAGATTTTTAAAATACGGCAATGGGTCTCTGCTATCCAATGTGTTTAGTAGTCTGTTTTAGGTCCTGTCTGCACACGCACACACACAAACACACACACTTCTCTGCCATTATTTTTAGCTCCGGCATGGTCTCCCTTACATAAACAGACCAACACTCATAGAACCCATCCTCTCTTGTTGAAGATCTAGGTCTATTCTTTTATTTCAATGCCATTTACACTACAACAAACTTTGTTGGTGTGGAGTCCTAATTAGGAAAACGGAGTCAGGCTGGCAGGAGCAGGGGAAAGCAAAAAAACAAAGCAGATAAGCTATAAGTCTACCTTCTTCATGGTCCAGGGCACAGAGGCTTCCTGCACAAATAACTCACAACCTTCCCAAGGCCACCTATCACCAGACGCTCAGCTGATAGAAAAAGGCAAGTTAGCTCACTGCAACCTTGGTGTTGTCAGAACTGCACAAGTGCTCTTCAGCACACAGCACAAGCACCATTCTATAAAATTCCCAGTAAGCTTTTGTCTCCCTGCAGTCAGCTTGTCTCTTGCTGACCTGCCAGTTGCACCCTTGTGACATATTTTCATACTTTCTCTAATAAATCTGTCTTTCTTTACCTACAGCTGTCTTGGTAAATTCTTACCTCCCATGCCACCAGCCCAGACAGTCACTGACTGGAACTTCATTTTCATACACATTATTAATTATTTGTTCCGTTGGCATAAATTCCTGAAAGTAGGTTTTCTGGCATCAAAGATTTGAATCCAGTTTAAGGCTTTTATATGAATGGCCAAATTACACCCTGATAAAGTATGAGAGTGGCAATTTCCCACACTCGTACCAACAGTGTGTGTGTGTGTGTGTGTGTTTATTATTATTATTATTATTATACTTTAAGTTCTAGGGTACATGTGCACAACGTGCAGGTTTGTTACATATGTACACATGTGCCATGTTGCTGTGCTGCACCCATTATCTCGTCATTTACATTAGGTATATCTCCTAATGCTATCCCTCCCCACTCCCCCTTCCCCACAATAGGCCCCAGTGTGTGATGTTCCCCTTCCTGTGTCCAAGTGATCTCATTGTTCAATTCCCACCTATGAGTGAGAACATGCGGTGTTTGGATTTTTCTGTTCTTGCAATAGTTTGCTGAGAATGATGGTTTCCAGCTGCATCCATGTCCCTACAAAGGACACAAACTCATTCTTTTTTTTTTTTTTTTTTTTGGCTGCATAGTATTCCATGGTGTATATGTGCCACATTTTCTTAATCCAATCTGTCACTGATGGACATTTGGATTGATTCCAAGTCTTTGCTATTGTGAATAGTGCTGCAATAGACATACGTGTGCATGTGTCTTTATAGCAGCATGATTTATAATCCTTTGGGTATATACCCAGTAATGGGATGACTGGGTCAAATGGTATTTCTAGTTCTAGATCCTTGAGGAATCTCCACATTGTTTTCCACGACGGCTGAACTAGTTTACAGTCCCACCAACAGTGTAAAAGTGTTCCTATTTCTCCACATCCTCTCCAGCACCTGTTGTTTCCTGATTTTTTTAATGATTGCCATTCTAACTGGTGTGAGATGGTATCTCATTGTGGTTTTGATTTGCATTTCTCTGATGGCGAGTGATGATGAGCATTTTTTCATGTGTTTCCAACAGTGATTCTTACCCACTTTCAGTAATGGTCATAATCAAGCAGGGAGAATTTACAGATGCAAACAGAGGCAGACACACACCACCACCAACTGTGGTTATTAGGCACGATATATTACAAACAGGACCCTGACTTTACATGAAATGGGATGGTAAACAGCCTCACTACCATAAAATTAATAGAGTGGGAGTATACAGGGAGGAAATGAGCAACTGGAAATTTTTACAGAAGTGGAATTCCAGGCATTACAGGAATGAAGAAAGCACAGTGTTGAATAACATCATTTTTTAGAACTTTGCCAATACCTGAGACAATGCCTTACTCTGGGCCAGGCTCACTACGTAGAATTTTTTTTTTCGGTAAGCAATGACATTTAGGCTGCAGGACAACTGGACACAGAGATAAGTGAATGTGTTATTAAAATAACTATAAAGGCCGGGCATGGTGGTTCACCCTCCATAATCCTAGCACTTTGGGAGGCTGAGGTAGGTGGATCACCTGAGGTCAGGAATTCGAGACAAGCCTGGCCAACATGGTGAAACCTTGCCTCTACTAAAAATACAAAAAATCAGCTGGACGTGCTAGTGGACACCTGTAATCCCAGCACTCAGGAGGTTGAGTCAGGAGAATCACTTGCACTTGGGAGGCAGAGGTAGCAGTGAGCTGAGATCTCGCCACTGCACTCCAGCCTGGGAAACAAGAGCGAAACTCTGTCTCAAAAAATAAATAAATAAATAACTATAAACTGTTTATTTGAATAAAGGCAGCCCAAACCATGCTAAACACAATCAGGTGTTAGCCATGCTGTTTTTAGCTCTTTGCTTATGAGTTTTATTTTTTAAATAAGTTTTATTTTGTATATTTGAGGTGTACAGCATGATGTCATTAGATACATATAGATAGTAAATTAGTTATTGTAGTAAAGCAGATTAACCATCTATCATCTCACATAGTTACTTTTTTTGTGTGACAAGAGCAGCTAAAATCTACTTATTTAACAATAATAATACCTAATACATTATAATTTTATTAACTATGGTGCTAATATGTTTTCCCTAAAATCTGAGCCAAGAGTCCTACTTCCTTAGATCATGACCTGCACCTCCACCCTGTGGCTCAAATGTACTACCAGGTGCTCTGACTCCTTTTGTAACCTCTCATACAGCAGAAATGATGGGCTGAGATGACATTGAATTGCAATCTCTTATCTCATTAGAGGTAGGTTTTGTGCTTTCTCTGACAGATACATTAAAACAACAAGCAAGTATAACTTCTAGACAGAGCAACTTCTCACAAAAATAAGACCAACGATATGCATTTTTCATGCAAAAATAAGTATAATTTGTCTTCTGAGAAGGGGAATGCAGATCTTGGTATAATTAAGTAGTTTGCAAATTTATCACAATCTATTGCCCAAGGGATAGGGGAAAAATTACCCCTTATATGGTGAGTCTTAGAGAGTCCTGGGGGCTGACACGGACACAGGGAATTCACTGAGGTTCTCCTAAACACTTTCAATGGGACCTCCACTCCTTGGGGTAATACCTTCCTCCATGTCGCATGGAGGGACTGTTCTGAAGGACAAGGCCCCAGCTTGCTTCTGAAGCTCCATCATGGCTGTCCATTTAGGCTGTGGCCTCGTTGGCTTGTCTTTAAACCAAATCAATTTAACTTTTTTATCTTGAGTTTGTGCCAGCAGTGCCCTTCACTGCTGAGAAGGATGAGTTTAAGTTTGCATTTACATATAAACTCATGTGGCTTCCCAGAAAATGTGGATCATAAAAGTTTTCTTAACCAGTTATTCAAGACCCAGTTGAAGAGCTGGTTGTTCTCTGAGAATGACATCTTAATTATAGAGTCCTTAGGTTAATTCTGAGAACCAGTGGTGAGGGCTTTTGAATTTCAAATGACCAGAAGGAGAAAATGGCTTAGACCCTCACAAATGCATAAGGAACTCGCCCATCCAAAGCTACCCAAGTCACTCAGAAAGGAACACTGTCTTTGCTGGCTGAGAAGAATATCCCGGATAAAGGAGGTTTTCTCTCTGGGCTTGGGACTGGCTAGTGGCATTCCCAGGAAGTCAAGCTTCTGTCTTTCTCTACCAACCCCGTTAGAAACAAAGAAGGCTGTCATTTTCCCCAAACTGAAAATGTTAAATGAACTTGATCATATCATATACAAGGAAAACAAACTTGTGCAATTATCATCATCAATATCACCATAACTTACACATTGGGTCCCCCAATTTCATGCATAACCCAGATCTCAATTCGTGTAATCTTTTCCTTCTGGAGGTTTGGAATTTCATAATCTGCAAAAAAACTGAGAAACATTTCTTAAAGCCCTAAAGCAATATGATATTTTTTCCATTTCAGTTTTTAGTTAATTTACCATTACTCTTCTTTAAAAAATAAAAGGCTTTTAGAAGTTTTTCTTCTTTAGCTTTTATTTTTAGTTTACTTTTTATTCCAGTATTCATCAGCGGTTAATGGTTTAACTCTATAGACATGGCTCTGATCACCAGGTCATTCATCTGTTTTGCTTTACCTGTATTTACAGAAGCAAGTATGAGATGGGGACTAGGATAATTTTCTTTAGCCTCTGTTTAAAACAATTAAATAAATATTTTGGCATTCTCTGTTGTGTTTGAATGTGCTGGTGGTCTTACCCTTTGATGGGATAGGCTCCTGTTGGCTCTGAACCATTCAGCATGACGTGGATCACCCCAGAACTATCCTTTGAATACTATGAGAAGAACCAAGTATTTTTAGCAAATAAAGACGTGACATTTTTCTGCTATGAAATGAGCATTTTTACAACTTGTCAGTTCTAAATAATGGCAAGGATATGATAAATGTGGCATTTCATATGGCTTAGTAGAAATGCAAATTGGTTTATTTTGGAAAGCAAATTGCCTTGAAATGTCAAAAAATTTATAGACTCAGTAATCCATGTCTGGGAATCTACCCCGAGAAGATAATAGAAAATATGCAGTATCTTATCAGCTATAATAAAGTAGGTTATGCTCCCTTAGCAAAGAACCTCGAAACTGCAGTGACTTTAAAACAACAATGATATATATCATGCTCACACTACATGTTTATCACAGGCCCACTGGGGTTTTGTTGCACGTGTCCTCATTCTGGGACACATCTGCAAAATCTCTGATTGCCAGGAAAAGGAGGAAACAGTGACAAATCATGGACCACTTCTTAAAGGCTTCCACCCAAAAGTCACACACATCACTCCCGCTCACAACTGATTGGCCAGTGTAAGTCACATGTAAATAATTTCATGAGGCAGGGAAGTGCAAACGGTGGGCTCAGAAGACAAGCCAAAATTATCTGGCAAACAGCACTAAGGACTACCAGGAGCACTGTGCACAAAGAAGTGTGGTGCAGCATTCTTTGTAATACTGAAATATTATAACCAATACCAAATACTTAACAAGGGGATAGTAAGTAAACTGTGATACTTAAGTGTCTGAAATATTAACCAGCCATTAGTAAAAGTCTACAGTATTTGCAATAGCATAGGAAGTGCTTACTTTCAAAGCAAAATGCAACAGTCGTTGGAGGAGCATGAGCTTTACTGTGTTAAAAATACATGGGCCGAAGTCTAGGATTCCCAACGGAGCGACAGGTCTACAGAAATTCCAAAATCTCCACTTCAAAATACTACTGGAGCATGTAATTTCCCTCATAAAATGTTTATAGTAGAATGAAGGAGGTGTAGAGGTGAAATATGTGGCACTGATGTATAGGTGGCTGGGTTCATTCCCTAGCAAAATGATACTCAATATCAAACAATATACTCCATGTTATCCATGTCTCAGATTGCTTCCAAATAGTGCTAACAGTCATAGTTAAATTCTTAAACTCCAATACCTGGTCACCACTATGCTAAATGGGTTGCCTTTAGGTGGTAGGAATGTGGGTGATTAATTTATATTTTCTGTATGTGTCAATCACTATTATGAGCAGCTATTACAATGACAAAAAGAAAAAAAATATTTTTTTAAAAAATGTGTGCAGAGCCAGGCACGGTGGCTCATGCCTGTAATCTCAGCATTTTGGGAGACTGAGGTGGGCAGATCACCTGAGGTCAGGAGTTTGAGACCAGCCTGGCTAACATGGCAAAAACCTGTCTCAACTAAAACTGCAAAAATTAGCTGGGCGTGGTGACACGCACCTGCAGTCCCAGCTACTCGGGAGGCTGATGTGGGAGAATTGCTTGAACCTGGGAGGTGGAGGTTGCGGTGAGCTGAGAATGTGCCACTGCACTCCAGCCTGGGTGACACAGAGAGACACTGTCTCAAAATAAATAAATAAATAAATAAAAATAAAAATAAAAAGTATGCAGATGCAATGAGGCTGTATAACGTTGTGGTTGAAAGTCTGATCTCGAGTCAGCCTGCCTGGTTTCAAATCCTAGCTCCCCTACTTGTCAGTTCCATAACCCTGGTCAAGCTTCTTGACCTCTCTGTACCTTACTTTATTATCTGTAAAATAAGGTATTTTATTACGTTATTACCTGATAAAAGTCTCTGCCTCATATAATTGTCATAAAGATGAAAATATTTGGCCGGGCACAGTGGCTCACGCCTTTAATCCCAGCACTTTGGGAGGCTGAGGCGGGCAGATCACGAGGTCAGGAGTTCGAGACAAGCCTGGCCAATATGGTGAAACCCTATCTCTACTAAAAATACAAAAATTAGCTGGGCATGGTGGCACACGCCTGTAGTTCTAGCTACTCGGGAGACTGAGGCAGAAGAATCACTTGAACCCAGGAGGCGGAGGTTGCAGTGAGCTGAGATCGACAGAGTGAGACTCTGTCTCAAAAAAAAAGATGAAAATATTTAAAATAATAACTGCTAACATTTATTGAATACTTATCTGCTAAGGTTCAAATCCGCTTCTCATCACTATACCACACTAATTCTCCTCATGCTTCGATTACACAGCAAATGCCAAGGGCTCAAAAAATTGTGGCCACTAGTATTAGATTTCCATTATAGAATTGGAGGAAGTATAAGGTGGTGGTTTGCAGCACACACTTGAAAGTCTGGCAGACCCACTGGGTAAAATAAATGGTTCCTTTACATGTAATGTTGACATCTCCCCTGAGTTACTGTTTGATCCCACTTTCAGATGATGACATCTCTGTAGCCTCCCAGTTCTCAATGAAGGGCTCTGGCAGCTGCTGCCAACTGACTGAAGTCTGTGCTCAAGATGAAACCTACGGGTAGTGGGAGCAAATGGTGCTCTCTTGGGGTAGGCAGCAGAGCACAGTAATAAACACAATATGTTTTATCTGGGAGGGATTCTCTGCTTAGCTCCAAATTGCAGCCACCATGGAGGATTTGGCCAAGGTCCTTCTCACCCTGACTAACAATCTACCTAGTGGACACCTGAGGATCTAGGATAGAAGATGAGACCAAAAAAGACATGGATAGCCCTGAAATGGGGTTGACGGTGGTGGGTGGAAGTGCCCTGACATCCACCTGGTCAACCTAGCTAATGTTTAATAGTCAACAGCTCTTTGCCAGGCACTGAAATAAGAACTTAACCCTCTTTATTTGTAATCTTTATTCTGATTCTCATGACAGAGAATTCTGTAGTCACTGGCATGCTATAGCTACTGATAGCTGTCATCAATTCTGGTGACATCATTCTCTGGGAAACAGACCTACCTTCAGGGGACCATTTCTGTGTCTCCAGCTTATCCTCCATCTCCTATCAGTTCCTCTCCCGTTAATATTAGTCTTGTGGACATTTCTGATCCCCACAACTTGATCTCAGGTGTACTAGGGTCTTTCATAAAGCAGGAGTTGCCCCATTTTATGTAGCAATCGAAATCATTGCTTTGAAATACTAACGATAACCATGACATAATGGAAATAATAATGACTAATTAAAAGCCTCATGCATAGTCAACATTTACGGAATGTTTTCTCTGTGCCAGGCACTGCATTAAGCATTTTATTTCCTTAAATTCTCACAACTTTATATAGCAAAGAGTATGAATCATGATGTGGTAAAAGTGGAAAGTGAGGCTCAGAGAAGTTGATTGATGACCTGGGGCCCAGACTCTGAATCACTGTGTTCCATCTCTATGGGTCCCACACACGCTCAACCACTCAGATATCATCCCAGCATTACCTGGATGGATGCCCTTTTCCAAAAGGAATCCACAGGATTATTTTCACAGTCTTCTGATGTAGGGCAGGATTGGTAATCGAGTCCTAAGGGGTAAGTAGACAAACACATTTTATTCCAAAGATTATCTATCTCAGAGAAGAATTAACTTACAATATATCCCAGTTCCATGATGTGTACTTAGCCTCCATTCTGTACAATGTGTACAAGTTTAACATCCACAGTTCTTCCCACTTGATCCACAGGGAGCCTGGTGAGGGACCACCTTGTCCATGATACTAAAGACGTTGGTCATTTTGCTCACCACAAATGTGAGGAAGGCAGAGAACTAAATAGCTGGCTAGTGAGTGAGCCTAGCTGACCACTGAGCATCAGCATATTAGCTGGGTTATTTCTCTACTGGAGCACTAGTAAAGCAATGTTTAAAAACCCACAAACAGCAACAAAAACCCTTTGCTTTATTGGGAGAAGTGCCGTCTCTAAAAATTAAATCGTTAGCCATTATCTTAGTAGTAAATGCAAGGGAAAAAAAGGATTAAGAGCGATAATGCTTAGTCAGAGAACAGAAATTTTATACAATTGAAAAATATACAAAATGTGAAAATATATTACATTTAAAAATGTTTAAGGACAGATTAAAGACTCCAGCAGATCAATGGGATGTGGAACATGCTTACCATATACTCTATAAAGAAAAAAAATTTCTAATTTACAAGTTGACCTCATTTCCTAGCAAGAACTGCTATTAATGGCATTATTCATAATAGCCAAGATACGGAATCAATCTGTGTCCATCAACTGATTAATAGATAAGAAAATAGACCGAGCACAGTGGCTCATGCCTGTAATCTCAGCATTTTAGGAAGCCGAGGTGGGTGGATTACCTGAGGTCAGGAGTTCAAGACCAGACTGGCCAACGTGTGAAACCCCATCTCTACTAAAAATACAAAAAGTAGCTGGGTGTGGTGGCATGCACTTGTAGTCCCAGCTACTCAGGAGGCTGAGGCAAGAGAATCGCTTGAACCTGGGGGGCGGAGGCTGCAGTGAGCTGAGATCGTGCCACTGCACTCTGGCCTGGGCGACCGACAGAGACTCCATTAAAAAAAAAGAAAATACGGCATATATACATAACGGAATACTATTGAGTCATTTGTAACAACATGGATGAACCTGGAGGACATTATGTCAAGTGAAATAAACCAGGTACAGGAAAACAAATATTGCATGATCTCACTTGAAAGTGGAATCTTGAAAAGCAGATCTCATAGAAGTTGGGGGTAGAATAGCGGCTACCAGAGGTTGGGGAGGGGAATGGATAAGGGAGATGGGAAGAGGCTGGTCAACAATGTTACAGTTACATAGAAGGAATAAGCACTGGGGCTGTAATGCACAATAGAGTGGCTATAGCTAACAATAGTGTATGCATATTTCAAAATAACTAGTAGAGAGGATTTTGAAGGTCTCACTACAAAGAAATGGTAAATGTTTAAGATGATGGATATGCTAATTACCCTGATTTGATTATTACACAATGTATATATGTATCAAAACATCACATTGTATGCCATAAATATATACAATTTTCATGTGTCAATCAAAAATAAAATAAAAATAAAAATTTGAAAAAAGAACCAAGGCCAGGTACAGTGGCTCATGCCTGTAATCCCAGCGCTTTGGGAGGCTGAGGCACGAGGATTATTTGAAGTCAGGAGTTCAAGACCAGCCTGGGCAACATGGCAAGACCATATGTCTACAAAAATAATTTTCAAAACAACCTAGTGTGGTGGTGTGTGCCTGTAGTCCAGCTACTTAAGAGGCTGAGGCAAGAGGATCCCTTGAGCACAGGAGTTCAAGGCTGCAATAAGCTAGGATCACACCACTGCATTCCAGCCTGGGTGGCAGAGTGGGACCCTGTCTCAAAAAATAACAATGATTTTAAAATAAAAATAAATAAAATAAAAAAGAGCTGCTGTCAATGGTTTGGGTTTGCTATTTTCTTGGCTTTTTTCTGTGTGTATATTTTCATAGATGTATTGTGTATATGTGTTTCTATTTGAATAACCTCATACCTATCATAGGGTTATGTAAGTTTATTTTTCGCTTAAAAATATGCCTCTTTCTGGGTCAATAAATAAAAAACCTCATCACCATTGCTACTGGCCCCACAGGATTCCATGACATACACATACAGTTATTTAGCTGACCTGAACCGCTGGACTTCGGTTCTTTCTGACACAAAGAGCCCTGATAGGAGGGCATAGATAGAAAAGGGCAGCGAAGTGAGGAAGAAATAACTGGTGGTTTTCTGGAATGCTCTTCCTTTCTTTATGTGTTTTTCATCACATTCCTCCCCTCCTTCTCCCCACCCTCTGCAGCATCATCAAACAAAAACTTCCTGGAAGTTCTCCATTGAAAGATTGGCTGTGTCCATTTGACCTGGAACCTGCAATGCTGCCCATCTCACTCACAGTGAAAAGCAGAGGCCTCACAACATCCTGTGCCACCGGGCCCTCCTTTATTCCTCCAGCCTCATAGCTTGCACTTTCCTCTTTGCCTACTGTCCTCTTTGCTGTTAAATATGTCACACACGCTCCCACCTCAGGGTCTCTGCAATTGCTGTTCTCCCGTCAGAAAATGTTCTTTCTCATCTCCTTGTTCAAATATCAGCCTCTCAGTGAGGTTTTCCTTAGGCATCTAGGTAAAAATGCAACACTTTCCTCTCCCCAGCCCTCCACTCTCAACCTTTTTTGTCCTTATTACCTGTTTTGTTTTTCTCCATAGTCCTTATAATCTTAAGACAGACTATATATTTCACTTGCCTGTTTATTGTCTTTTCTGCCTTCCTATAATGTAAGCATGGGGTATTAATTTCCTCTTTCATTCTCTGCTGTATTCCTACTGTCTAGAAGATGAGGGTCAAGCACATAGTAGACACTATAAATTTTAGTTTGATGGACAAATGAATGGAGGAGAAATAAACAGAACTGATATTAGGTTAACTCTTTTTTTTGTTTTTGTGCCGAGTCTCACTCTGCCGTCCAGGTTAGAGTGCAGTGGTGTGATCTCACCTCAGTGCAACCTCCATCTCCAGGGTTCGAGGGTTTCTCCTGCCTCAGCCTCCCGAGTAGCTGTGATTACAGGCATGCACCACCACACTTGGCTAATTTTTTTTGTATTTTTAGTAGAGATAGGGTTTCTTCATGTTGGCCAGGCTGATCTCGAACTTGTGACCTCAAATGATCCACTCACCTCGGCCTCCCAAAGTGCTGGGATTACAGGCGTGAGCCACCATGCCCGGCCTGATATTAGGTTAATTTTTGAAGTGACTCTGATACCCAGGAAGGTTCTCCAGTCTTCATGATGGGAACACTCCCTCACCTCCTTTCCTTGCTAGCCTCCCTCCTGAAGCTTCCCTGATGCCCTGGTGAGGCTGGTGTCTCACTCTGCTACTCTTCAGAACACCATATTTCCTGCATTATATCACTTGAGCTAATGCCCCCCATGAGACTATAAGCTCCCCAAAGATAGGGACTGCAGTGTCTCCAGCTCCTAGCACCACAGTTGGATGAATGAGGAGAGTTTGCAGAGCATTCAAGCCAGCTCTTGTGACTCTAACTTTCCTTGTGACTTGGATCTCGAAATATCTGCCGGCGGCCTAGAGTGGTGTTAAAGAGCACAGGCTTCAGAATCCATCAGGAGAGGGCTGAGACCCAGCCTTACCACTTCCAGTCATTTAACCTCTCTAAGCCTCAGCTTCCCCCTCTGGACAAGTGAGGATAGTTAGGCAGAGTTGTGCAAGGTTGAGAAAATGGGCTGTGGAGTCAGACTGTCTGCTGCTTACTAGCTATGCCCCCCGAGCAGTTTTCTTAATCTTGCTGTGCCTCAGTTTCATCATTTATCAAAATGGGGATTATGATAGGATCCCATGAGGCTGTTGTGGGCATTAAATTATACACACACACACACACACACACACACACAAAGTGCTTAGACTGGCACCCGCAAAAGATAAGTATTCTCCAGTATTGTTATTATTAACTATTCTTGTCACTTATTTCAGAGGACTCGGAGAGGATCAAGTGAAATAAATGCATATGAAAGCATTTAGCACAAATGGTAATGCATAGTAAATAGGAGCTCTTAAGTCTCCTGTGATTTGTGCAGGAGTCTTACCAGAGGCATTTTTCTGTCGACACCAGCTCAAGAAATCTGCAACCCTGCCATACAGAACATCACTCAGGGGCATAAAACGACGGGTGTTTCCTGCAAAGCTGTTAACAAGGAGGTGGCTATTTTCCCAGAACAGGGACTAAGGAAAGACAAACAAAACATCAAAATACAACACAAAATCAGGCTCTTCAGGCACAGCATCATCAAGGCAGGTTGGGCAATCCAGTTCTTATTCAACTCTGACCTGCTGCACAACTGAACGTTCTTATTCGTTGTCTTTATTTATTCATTCGAAGACTGCTAGCATCTCTCCTCCCTTTATTCCCAGGGTATCGTCCAAATGTTAATGGAATATTTTCTCACTAGTACTAAATATACATGCATGTGGGAAGATTCCATACATTAAAAATGATCAAGGGACCTGGGCTGGAATCCTGGCTCTGTCATGTATTAGATATGTAATCTTGACCAAGGCATGCAATCTCCCTGTTTCTGTTTCTACTTCTGGAAAATGCAGAGCATGAGCCCTTTCTCTTCTTCCACAGCTGTGGCCAGGATAATATGCAGTCACAGAAAGCACTTCCTAAAGTGTCAAGTGCCTCAAAAACACATTGCTTTCATATTATACTTCATAGTTTCCACTATAGTGTTTTCATATAACAATAACCCAAATCCCCCAGTCACTATTTCATCTGACCCTCAGTAGTCCAATCAGTTTATATTTAGACTAGAAGGTCCCCAAGGGTGGGGGCTGTTTTTCACTGTTACAGCCTTAACCCTTAGCACCAATGACTGGGCAAACAAATAGCCCAGGAAGTATTTACTGAGTTCATCAACTAGCACCGAATCTCTGAAAGAGAAGGTAAAAAAGTTGGCTTCCGCGCTTTTAGTGACAGGAAGACAACAAGGTTCAAAAAACAGCATATACTCAAAATCATGTTTTCAGTCTATTCTATCTTTGAACCTCACAGTTCCATTTACTTGCCTTTACAAATAACACACAGTGGAAAAAATCAGATTAAGAATGTCTATGCCACAGAAACAAAAATGGTGTCTAGCATTCTTTAAACTTGAGGTATTTTTTTAAGCAAGGGTTTTATGGAAATTTTCTCATTTATTTTCACTTTATTAGACCTTAGAGTGTAGACAGAATAGATATGTGGTTTTCTTAAATCAACTGGTACTGAATAAACATAATCTTAAGACCCATTAAATGGAGAGACTGGTCTCCCAGAAGGATACTGAGATTGAGAGTTTTCTGAATTACTCAAGGTTCAGGCCATTGGGCCAGTTAGGATGAAGGTTATTTAGAATTGACCAGATGTGGAGGCCCAGTGTGACAGGTACGGCCATGTCCTTATGTCCCTGTGCTGATTCTCACACTGACTTACAAACTTAGGAAATTTCCTTCTGCCCACAACCAGCTGGAGATCTAGAATCACTGTTGGAAACTGATATGGTTTGGATTTATGTCTCTTGTCAAATTGTAATCCCCTATGTTAGAGGTGGGGCCTGGTGCAACATGATTGGATTATGGGGGCGGATTTCCCCCATTGGTGCTGTTCTCCTGGTGGAGTTCTCAGAAGATCCAGTTATTTACAAGCCTGTGGCACCTCCCTCTGCCCTTGGTCCTGCTCGTGCCATGTAAGACACCTGCTCCCACTTTGCCTTCCGCTGGAGTAAAAGCTCCCAGAGGCCTCCCAGAAGTAGATGCTGCCATTCTTCCTGTACAGCCTGTGGAACTGTGAAACCAATTAAACCTCTTTTCTTTATAAATTACCCAGTCTCAGGCATTTCTTTATAGCAATGTGACAACGGACTAATACAGAAACAAAGCTAGCTTCCCACAGAGAGCTCAGCACACACATTATGTGTGCTGCCTGATGTTTCTGTGACATTGCAGGATGCAGGGGACAGCTAATCTCACACCTGGCCCATGCACCATCCACTTCTGTAGAGACAGAGAACAAAGTTTTACCCAAGACGGTTGTAGCATTACCTTATCTCTGGGAATAGAGTGCCTGGACAAGTTAATAAAAAGGTCATAGTCCGAGGGAAGCACGGAGCAGGGATCCTTGTCCAGTGCCACTTTAAAGGCTTCCCAGATGGCTGTGCAGTTCTTGTTCCTGTGCAAAAGTACAAGTTGGGAAGAACACACACATGCACATCACGATGTAATGTGAAGTATTTCCATTTCTCTAAGAGCTCTACAAGAGATTTTGTCATATAGTGACTCTGCGGAAGTAGGCTTACAAAAAAGACAACAAATTATCACGACTCAGGTGACAGATTCAGAAATCTGACACTGGAATTGCCTCTCAGAAGGCACTGCACAGATTTCTCAGCGCTAAGGAATACAGCCTTGCCCCCAGGCTCACAAAGACAAGTAGAAATGGCACCTAGCAGGAGGTGACAATTTCAGTCAACTATACAGCAGGTGCCTCTTCATTTAGAACTAACAGTGGGGGCAGTCTCGTTGTTCAGGTCCACTGTGGACCTCGGAGACCAGGTGAGGCCAGGCCTAGCCAGCGAGCAGGATGTGTGATGTTAGGAGGGAGGTCCAACGCTGCAAGAGGCTTCCACCCCTGGCAAAGCAGGTGCACCCTCCAGTGCCAGCCCCTCTTGAGGTCCATCCTAGTTTTCAAAAAATATTTCCCACGGCATTTGTGACTTTCTGTTTCTCATACTGGGTGGTGTGTAACACAGGTGGTTCTTATATTATTCTCTGCTGGTTTTTATTTGCCTGAAATGTGCAACAGTAAAAACGATCAGCACAAGAAAGACATCGCAAACACAAGAAAAGGGGGACCCACAGAAGGAACAAAAATCAGTAAGAAATGCAGCGCTGGCAAGAAAGACCTAAACTTCAGAAATCCTCCAGATTTAGGGGTTCTGAAATTTGAATTCCGGAAGGACTGGACTCAAGGAATTCCAACCTGAGACCACATTCTGGGTTCTGAGGGCTCAGACTGAACATCTGCTGGGTGGCAATGGGCTGTTACCCAGTTCACCTCTACCCCACCCTCACTTCTAGAGGGATACCTCTCCACCCTCCTTCACACTCACACACACATACACCCCACACCTCTAGACCACACATACATCCCGCACCTCTAGACCACACACACACACACCGGTTACCTCCAGACCACACACACACCCATCCCTCACCTCTAGACCACATACACACACACACGCATACACACATCGCTCACCTCTAGACTACACATACCCCCCTCACCTCTAGCACAAACACACACATATCTCACCTCTAGAACACACACACCCTCACCTCTAGAACACACACACACACCCCTCACCTCTAGAACAAATACACATCTCACCTCTAATACACCTCTCACCTCTAGAACACACACACACACCCCCTCACCTCTAGAACACGCACACACACCTCTCTCACCTCTAGAACACACACAGTCTCCTTACCTCTAGAATACACACATACCCCTCACATCTAGAACACACACACACACACACACACACACACACACACACACACAGATATGGTTAGACTTTGTGTCCCCAACCAAATCTCATCTTGAATTGTAATCTCGATAATCCCTAGGTGTCTAGGGAGAGACCAGATGGGAGGTAATTGAATCATGATTGTGGTTTCCCCCATGCTGTTCTCTTGATAGTGAGTGAGTCTCACAAGATATGATGGTTTTATAAGTGTCTGGCATTTGCCCCTACTTGCACGCGCTCCGTCCTCTCTGTGAAGAAGGCGCCTGCTTCTCCTTTGCCTTCACTTTCGCCATGGTTGTAAGTTTCCTGAGGCCTCCCCAGCAATAAGGAACTGTGAGTCAATTAAACCTCTTTCCTGTATAAATTACCCAGTCTGTGGTATTTCTTCATAGCAGTGTGAAAACAGACTAATACACATACATACCCCTCACTGCTAGAACACACGCACACACCCCTCACCTCTAGAATGCCTCTGGGAAATGCACACACATCCCTCACCTCTAGAACACACGCACACATGCCCCTCACCTCTAGAACACACACACACCTCACCTCTAGAACACACACCCCTCACCTCTAGAACACACACACACCCTTCATCTCTAGAACACACACACACCTCCCCCTCACCTCTAGAACACACACACCCCTCACCTCTAGAACACACACACACCCCTCACCTCTAGAACACACGCACACACCCCTCACCTCTAGAGAACACACACATACCCTCACCTCCTAGAACACACACATACACCCCTCACCCCTAGAACATACACACACCCTCACATATGGGAGTGCACACACACCCCTCTCACCTCTAGAGCGCATACACACCCCTCACCTCTAAAACACACACCCCTCACCTCTAGAGCACACGTGCACACACACACCCCTCACCTCCCCTAGAATACACACACTCCTCACTCCAGAACACACACATACCCCTCACACTCTGAAGTGCACACACACGCACACCTCACCCCCTCTAGAACACACACATACCCCTCACCTCCAGAACACACACATGCACACACCCCACACCCCTCACCTCTAGAACACACACACACCCCCCTCATCTCTAGAGTGCAAGTGCACACACACCCCTCACCTCTAGAACACACACACACACCTCTCACCTCTAGAACACATTCACCACCCACTCCTCCCCACCTCTAGCACACACACACACACCCCTCATCTCTAGAGTGCAAGTGCACACACACACCCCTCACCTCTAGAACACACACACACACTTCACCTCTAGAACACACACACACACACCTCTCACCTCTACAGAACACGTACAGAAACTTACCCTCACCTCCTGGAGACAACACACACACCCCTCACCTCTAGAACACACACAACCCACCCTAGAACACACTCCACACCCTCACACTCTAGCGTGTACACACACACACCCCTCACCTCTAGAACACGTGCACACACACTCCCTCACCTCTAGAACACACACATGCACACTTCATCTCTAGAACACATACACACCCCTCACCTCAGAACACACACACCTCACCTCTAGAACACATGCACACACCCTTCACCTCTAGAACACACACACACACCTCTCACCTCTAGAACACACACACCTCACCTCTAAAGCACACACACACACTCCTTACTTCTAGAACACAGACCACACCTTCACCTCTAGAGCACACACACACCACCCCTCACTTCAAATTACACACACACACTTCCCACCTCTAGAACACATGCACGCACCCCTCACCTCACAAGAACACACACCCTGCCCCTCACACTCTGGAGAGTGCACACACACACCCCTCACTTCTAGAACACACACACACACTTCACCCCTCTAGAACACATGCGCACCCCTCACCTCTAGAGTGCACATACACACCCCTCACCTCTAGAACACACACACACCCCTCACTTCTAGAACACACACACATCCCTCACCTCCAGAACACACACACCCCTCACTTCCAGAACACATGCGCGCGCACACACCCAAATCACCTCTAGAGCACACACACACAAACCCTCACCTCCCTAGAGCACACACACACTACAGCCCTCACCACTAGAACACACCCCTCACCTCTAGAACACACACACCCCTCACCTCTAGAACACACACACACACAGCCCTCACCACTAGAACACACACACACGCAACCCTCACCACTAGAACACACACACACACACACCCCTCACCTCTAGAACACACGCACACACCCCTCACCTCTAGAACACACACATACCCCTCACCTCTAGAGCGCGCGCGCGCGCACACACACACACACACACACACACTCCTCATCTCTAGACCCCGCACAGCGCACCCCTCACCTGCAGACACACTTCACAGTCCCCTCCTCACTTGCCTGCATCCTTCAGGACCATCGCTATCTCTACACTCACCTCTCCCCTCAAGGCCTCTCTCATTGTCCCCTCACCCCGACCTTTAGCTCCAGTATTCCCCTCCCCAGGCCCTCTCCACTGTTGCCTCTTCCCACCCCGCCTCCCCCGCCCCCCGCTTCCCTTCCCACCCGGCCCGCGGCCTCACCGCTGCTCCAAGCTCAGCAGTGCGCGGTACTCGGCGCAGCGGCCCAGGAAGATGTCCCGCAGCTGTGGGCTGGTGCCCTCCCCGTGCCACGGCGCGGGCGCCCCGCCCTCAGCCAGCAGCGGCAGCGGCAGCAGCAGAAGCTGGAGCAGCCGCGAGACCGCGCACCCCCGGGCCGCCATCGGGGAACTTCGGTCCCTCCAGTCCCGTGCCTCCTCGACTCCCCTTCTCTCTTTCTACTAAGGCGGCTCCGCAAACTGATGCAGGGCGGGACTCTTGCTCGTCGGAGCGACTCCCGCTGGTCGGAGGAAAACCTTGCTGTTTTCCGTTTCCCGTTCCAGTCTATTTCAAGACCCAGCTTGGGGCGGGGTGCGGTGGCTCATGCCTGTAATCCCAGCACTTTGGGAGGCAGAGGCGGGCGGATCGCTTGAGTCTAGGAGATCGAGACAAACCTGAGTAACATATAGGTAACAAACCTCCTCTGTACAAAGAAATATAAAAATTAGCCGGTCTTGGTGGTGCGCACCTGTAGCCTCAGCTACCTGCAAGGTTGAGATGGGAGGAGGCTTGACCCCAGGGGATCGAGGCTGCAGCGAGCGGTGATGGCACCACTGCACTCCAGCCCTGGGCGACAGAGTGACACCCTGTCTAAAAAAGTAATAATAAATAAATAATAAAAATAAAAAAATAATAAAAGTGAGCTTGGAACATCACCCAGAACAGGACCGGTGCACTGTGGCCCAGGCTAATCTTGACTGGTGTCCTCCGGGAGGGAACCCCAAAGAAGCCGCGAGGTTGGAGGAGAGGTGAGGAGAGGTGAGTCATCATAGAAGAAAGACTTTTCTGGCTCCAAAGGACAACAACTTTGACAGATGCCCTCTTTCACACCAACCAATAAGTGTTTTTTGTTTGTTTTCAGGAAATAATAACCACAATAACGTCCCAAGCACTTTGCAAGTATAATATTCATTGCTTTCCGCAACACCCTTCCTAGCTAAGTTTATAATTATTCTCGCTTTAGCAATGTTTAAACTTAGGGAAGTTAAGCATGTTCGGCCCTCCAGATTTGCGGATTCATCATCCAAATTCAACTAACCACGGATGAGAAACATTTGAGGAAAAAAAGAATGCTTGCCTCTGTACTGAACACTACGAACTTTTTTTCCTTGTCATCATTCCCTAAATAATACAATGTAACAACTACTTATGTAACAATTACATGGTACTTGATATTATAAGGAATCTGAAGATGATGTGAATTATAGGAGAGGATGTGCAAATACTGTACTACACCATTTAATATAAGGGCCTTGAGCATCTGTGGATTTTGCTGTCCAGGTCCTGGAACCAGTTCTCCATGGATACCTACTGCCCACTGTAACTTGTTAGAGGTCACAATCTCCCTTCCTGATAGATGCAAAATCCTGGAGACAGTCAGTTTAAGAGAGCCAGTATTAATAGAATACCACGTGGAGGCCCAAGTCCTCAATTCTTAAAGTAATGACAGCAATGAACTTTGAGTGCCTGGCAAGCACTTGATAAACACAAGGGAGGACGGAACAGGTGTTCTGTACTGTTTTATTTGAATCTCTTTCTTTCTATAACCAAAATCTGCTTTCTCCTGTTCAGTTCCTCCTTAAGTTAAATCCACTTTCCAGAGGTGAGCATTTTTAATCCTTTCAAGTTTTGTTCCTGGTGTTTACTTCCATATTTCTAAATAACATGTGTGAACACCCAAAATTTGAGACAGGTCTCAGTTAATTTAGAAAGTTTATTTTACCAAGATTGAGGACGCTTGTCCATGACACAGCCTCAGGAGGTCCTGACAACATGTGCCCAAGGTGCTCAGGGCACAGCTTGGTTTTACACATTTTAGGGAGACATGAGACATCAATCAATGTATGTAAGAAGTACATTGGTTCCATCCAGAAAGGCAGGGACAACTCAAAGCAGAGAGGGGGCTTCCAGGTCTCAGCTAGGTAAAAGATAAATGGTTGCCTTCTTTTGAGTTTCTGATAAACCTTTCCAAAGGAGGCCATCAGACTATGCATATATCTCAGTGAGCAGCTGAATGACTTTGAATAGAATGTGAGGCAAGTTTGCCCTGAGCAGTTCCCAGCCTGACTTTTCCCTTTAGTTTAGTAATTTTGGAGCCCCAAGATTTTCCTTTCATGCATCCCTGGTATGGCTTGTCCCACCAAATCTCATGTTAAATTGTAATCCCCACTGTTGGAGGTGAGGCCTGGTGGGAGGTGATTTGATCATGGGGATGGATTTCTCATAAATAGTCTAGCACCATCCCCTTGGTGCTGTTCTCATGATAGTGAGTGAGATCTGGTTGCTTTAAACTGTGTAGCACTGGCAGGGCACCTTGGCTCACGCCTGTAATCCCAGCACTTTTGGAGTCTGGTGCCAGGGGGGTGGGTGGGAATCATGAGGTCAAGGGATCGAGACCATCCTGGCCAACATGGTGAAACCCATCTCTATTAAAAATACAAAAATTATCTGGGTGTGGTGGCATGTGCCTGTAATCCCAGCTATTCTGGAGGCTGAGACAGGAGAATCGCTTGAACTTGGGAGGTGGAGGGTACAGTGAGCTGAGATATCACAACTGCACTCCAGCCTGGTGACAGAGTGAGACTCCGTCTCAAAAAAAAAAAAAAAAAAAAAGGGGGGGGGAGGGGTAGCACCTCCTCCCTCTCTCTCTTGCTCCCTTCGGCCACCATGTAAGACCCCTCACTCCCTCTTTGCCTTCCACCACATTTGGAAACTTCCTGAAGCCTCTCCAGATGCAGAAGCCACTGTGCTTCCTGTACAGCCTGCAGAACTGTGAGCCAATTAAACCTCTTTTTCTTATAAATTACCAGTTTCAGGTATCTATAGCAGTGCAAGAACAGACTAATACAATGCCTATATGCTATTTTTTGATGTTTCTGTTTGGGACATTATTCTGTTTGGGACGTTATTACATTTTATTTGTTGTAAACCTCTTGTTTACCCTGGAGGTAATCATTATCTAGAAAGTAACTAGCTTGCTTTCAATATTACAGGCTCATAGGCAGAAGGGACATGCGTTGTCTCAGATGAAACTTTGAACTGTGGACTTTTGGGCTAATGTTGAAATGAGTTAAGAATTTGAGGGACTGTTGAGAAGGCATGATTGGTTTGGAAATGTGAGGACATGAGATTTGGAGGGGCCAGGGGTGGAGTGATATGGTTTGGCTGTGTCCCCACCCAAATCTCATCTTGAATTGTAGCTCCCAGAATTCCCACATGTTGTGGGAGAGAGCTGGGTGGGGGTAATTGATTCATGGGGGCTGGTCTTTCCTGTGCTATTCTTGTGATAGTGAATAAGTCTCACAAGATCTGATGGGTTTATCAGGGGTTTCCACTTTTGCTTCTTCCTCATTTTCCTCTTGCTGCTGCCATGCAAGAAGTGCCTTTCACCTAATGACATGATTCTGAGGTCTCCCCACCCATGCAGAACTGTAAGTCAAATTAACCCTCTTTTTTTTTTTTTGAGACTGAGTTGCTCTGTGGCCCAGGTGGTGCGATCTCAGCTCACAGCAAGCTCCGCCTCCCAGGTTCACACCATTCTCCTGCCTCAGCCTCCTGAGTAGCTGGGACTACAGGCACCCGCCACCATGCCCAGCTAATTTTTTCTATTTTTAGTAGAGACGGGTTTTCACCATATTAGCCAGGATGGTCTCGATCTCCTGACCTCGTGATCTGCCTGCCTCGGCCTCCCAAAGTGCTGGGATTACAGGCATGAGCCACCGCACCCAGCCCAATTAACCCTCTTTTTGTTCCCAGTTTCAGGTATGTCTTTATGAGCAGCATGAAAACAAACTAATACAACTAGATCTCACATCCTCCTCTTTCTTGTTTTATGGAGCACATCTTCCAATAGCTTCTTAAGAAGATACATAGGGACTAAACTTTCTGATATTTTTGCATAAGAATTTGAAATATCATTATTCTACCTTCATACTTAATTGAGAATTTGGTTGGGTTTCTGAGATTTTTGCATAAGAATTCAAAGTATCATTATTCTAACCTCACATTTGATTGAGAATTTGGTTGGGAAGATTTTTGCATTGGAAAGCATTTCCCTTCAAAAATTTGAAGACTGTGTTCCATTGTTTTCTGTGTTGCTGTTGAGAAATCTGAACCCATTTTCCTATTCCTGTTTATTTGACCTTTTTTTGTTGTTGTTTGTTTTGTTTTTTGTTCTTTGGCCTGTTTTTTTCCATCTGAAAGTTTTCAGAATTTCCTTCTATTCTTAGGAGTATGAAATTTCAGAGATGAACTTGGGAAAAGGTAGTTGTTTTTCATTGTACTGGACAATCCATGAGCCCTTTTAACCTGCAAACTCATGTCTTTAAATACTGAGATATTTTGTCAATTTTTTGGTAATTTCCCCTCCTCCAAATTTGTTTTCTCTTTCTGAAATTCCTATTACTCATATAGGAATGATTTCCTTGTTAGATTTCCTAGTCCCTAATTTTCTATATTTTCCCCTTCTATTTTTTATTTACTTTGTCTTCTTATACTTTCTTGAATATAAATTTATCATTATCTTCCAACTTCTCTATTGATTTTTTTATTTATACTATATCTATATATCTATATATACATATATACAGTTGTGTTCTACCTGTTCAGGTCTTTTTGCTTTTTATAATCTTCTCTTGCTGTTTTGTGAATATTTCTGAGGCTTTTATTACAGATGTAGGTTTTTCATTTTTCTTTTAAATTTTCTTCTGCCAACGTCTGTTTCCTTTGAATGCCATATTTCCATTTTGGTGACTGACTTTAATGTGAGAAGTTTCCCTCAAATAAACTGATGACTTTTGGCTGATTATTTTTACAAACACAGAAAAATATAAGGAACTGTATCAGTTCATTGTCACACTGCTGATAAAGACATACCCGAGACTGGGTAATTTATAAAGAGAAAGAGGTTTAATGGACTCATAGTTCCACATAGCTAGGGAGGCCTCATGATCATGGCAGAAGGCAAAAGGCACATTTTACCTGGCAGCAGGCAAGAGAGAGCTTGCGCAGGGGAACTCCTCTTTATAAAACCATCAGATCTTGTGAAACTTATTCACTATTATGAAAATGGGAAAGACCTACCCCCATGATTCAATTACCTCCCACCGAGTCCCTCACATGACATGAGGGAATTGTGGGAACTACAATTCAAGATGAGATTTGGGTGGGGATACAGCCATACCATATCAGGCACTAATTAGAAGCAGGCTCAAGGTACATGGATAGAATTTATCAAAGGGTGGGCTGCCCTGTAGGATGACAAACCGCACTTTATCACTAAGAGATTCCTGTCATTTTCTCTTCGACAGTCCATTTTTCCAGAG